TGTAGCACCCCAGGTGCTTGCCCTCCCCCGGCTGGAGGCCTTACTAAGCGTCCAAAAAGGAGATGCATTTGATGACTGCAAACATCCTTCTAACCTCCAGTGTGTGATTCTATGACTTTATTTTACAAATGTAGGCTCTTCTTATTTGTGACATAAACCCCCACAGAAAAAGAAAAAACAAAGTCGGTAATAAATTATAAAAAGTGGGGCCTGATCATTTGTACTTTCTGAAGGAGCTCAATTCATTCCATCCCACCCTTCTACCGCAGCCTGCCTCTCCGGGGCGACAGAGGATTCAAAGCTGTCAGTGGAGCAAACCAAGCCGTCTCTCCACATAATTGTATTGACAGGATATCAGCTGAGTTCCGATGGCAGGGAAGGTGCACCCCTGACAGGTTTTGTGAGGAAGGCTTGAAGGCTATTGTTGCAGAATTCTGTGTTGAGTCTCCAGATTCTAGGGAAACGAGAGTCAAGCAGGGAGAAGCTTGGTTCTTCCTCAATTTAATTTTATTCTTCCCAGAGTCACATTGGAAGGAACGCTGGCTGGCTGCATATCGCTTGACAGTGGAGAAGCCCTTGCTAGTGAAAATCACACCTTTTCTGTGCTCCCATAAAACACCGTCTTGACTCAAATGCTATTAAGTAACGAGTTGGTTTGGGTTCCAATGAGGCAACTAGTTGTTGAGTGTTTGTAGACAAATCACGTTTTCCGATTTGAGGATTTTCACTTTTCATCTGGTGGCTGTGGCATCTCACACGCATGTTCTTGAATAACTGCTGTGGATGTGTTCTGGTAAATTCCATGAGTGGGAAATACCATGGTTATGTTTGTTCAGTCAATGTCTCTGCATTTGAAATGAAAAAAGAAAAAGACCACTAACTGTATCCGCAAGGGAAAACAATCCCAATGACAGCTCCCCAATATGGTGAAATAAATGTTTCTGAAGAGCTGTATTCCTCCAGAGGAATACAGGCTCAGGCACAGACAAAACCAAGATACACCTCAATTCCCGTCACCCCCCCCAAGACACCCCAAGCCAACAGCACTCACACAATGGGAGACAGTCACCTTTGGGCTGTGAAAACAAGCCTCATGAAGGGATTTACAAGTCAAACTCAACAGAAATTACAGGACCATGAAAGAGTTTCAAAGTTCTATGGAGCTGGAGAGAGCTCAGCAGCTAAAAGCACTGCTCTTAAGACCAACATGACAGGTAACAACTGTCCATAACGCCAATACAGGAGGCTCTGTCGCCCTCTTCTGGCCTCTCTGGGCACTGCATGCACAAGTACACTTTCGATACATGCAGGTAAAACACTCCAAAATAAACACAAATAAAATTTAAACGCTTTTAAAATTTTTATTATTTTTATTTTATGTGTGTGCGTGTATTGCCTGCAGGTAGGTAAGTGCACCCGTGTTGTGCAATGCCTGCAGAGGACAGAAGAGGCTGTCGGATCCCCTGAGACTGGAGTTACGGACAGTTGTTAGCTGCCATGTGGGTGCTGGGATTCGAACCCCACCCAGTCTTCTGCAAAAACAACCAGTGTTCTTAACCGCTGAGCCATCTCTCCAGCCCCCACAAATAAATTTCTAAAAATTTGGACGTTCTGGGGCTGGAGAGATGGCTCAGCGGTTAAGAACACTGACTGCTCTTGC